AGAGGAAGCGAGAAAGAGAGAAGAAGGAGGGGCATCTTGGAAGGTGAAAAGTCTAGATTTTGGGTAGTTAAAAACGAACCAATGGGTGAAACATTTTTTTTATGAGCTGTAAAATCCTCTTAAAAACGGAAGGGGTGAAATGGAGGGAAGATTTTATGCCTTTCGACTGCCCACAAGCCCAGTGTACTCTGGATAGAAAGTGGAAGTTAATATACACTGCACCAAAATTATTAAGGGGAAGGGGGGGCGGAGCTGTGAAATGCTATTGTAATCACAAGAGAAAAGATGCCCCTGCCCCAGCTCTGGATCTCAAGTGGTTCTTTCTCTACAGTATCATCTCAGCCCAGTAACCCCACGAAAGCCCTGAGCCGTTGTGTTCCTTCACTGTACGGTTTCTGTAATAAGAGTGTTAATCCATGTTAATCTTTGTGAAAATTATTGTGTGCAACAGTATTTTCTTGTGTACTGCTTTTTACCTATGTGAATTGTCCCTTTTCTGTTTTCTTTTTTTCTTTCCTTCCTCTTTTTTCTTTTTTTTTTCTTTTAGTAATACGTCTTTCTTCTTTTAAAAGAAAAAACAAAAACAAACTGATGTGTTGTAGACCTATATGTAACCTATTCCTTAGTCTCATATTATAGGTATGTAATAAGAATGGATATTTTACTTGGCTTTAGAATGTTTTACAAGAAAACTAATTCTTAACCAATCAAGTTCTTGCTACTAAAAAAAAGAAATGCTTGTGTTTTTCATCATGACGTTGTGTGCTTCTAATTAATAATCATTTTCGTTGTAGAAAAATGGAGTGAATTTATATTAGTCTTGGAAACTAATAATAGCATTGTAAATTTATGAGATGATTTTAACAGAAAATACATTATAGAAGAATATAGTTATTTTAATTGTAATATTACTAACTGTAGGGTGAGAAAGGAGGTCCCGTTGTGGTGAACTATGTTATAGCTTGTTATTCACGGTTTCTTTTTGATCATTTTTTCGGTCTCTGAGGTGAAACGAGTTATTAATCAGAATTTGTCAACTCACATATGCATATTGTATATGTGTAGAAATGTAATCACACTTTGTCTTGGAATTACATTAAACTGTTTTAAGTCACTGCAAAGTTTGTGTGTCTGTATGTCTTCTCTCTAGTTTGATCTGAACATTTGGTTAGTTTTCAGATCCTATTATTTAATCTCCTCAGTCTATTGGAAAAACATCACGAATAGTATCATTAATAATAAAATAGTTTTCCCTTTGAGGTGACATGTTTAGATTTGTGAGATGTATTTTTTTCCCAGGGCAGAAGAGCATCTGTGTTCAGATGCTTTGCCGAAGCACAGAAGGCTGCTCAGAGCTGCCGTGTGCAGCTCTGTCAAGAGCTCTCTGCTACGTCCCACGGTACCGATTGGAGTGTGGATATCGGCTGCAAATGTAGGTCTGGTTTTCCTTTTAGCCTGAGCCCTCATTTCATTTGCTCCCTTTCTTTGCTTTGCTAAGTCCCAGCTGAGCTTTGAAAGGCTTAAGTAGATATTAAGATGCTGAAACCACCACCTGTTGGCAATTGCCATACCTGCCTTTTGGGCTCTGCCTGATTCTCACTGTGAGGTTCACTCAGGAGCAAGGTGGAGGCATCTGCAAAGGGTCCCCTGTTGTACCACAGCATCACCTTGGAGGAGGCCAGTGGCTCCTCAACAACTCTTAGTGGAGGGAGTGTAAGACCGACCTGGATTTGTTGTTGACCTTTCCCAACGTAGTGACTCACATGCAAGCTACCAGGTTTCCAGCCTGTGGGATTCATCTTGTTAATTCAGCTTCTCCCTTCCTGGGGATGGCCAGAGGGATGTTCAAAGAGCTGAACTGGGCTGTAAAGTACCGGGACGTGCTTTGCATTTGATGTCTGGCAAATGGTTTCTGCAGTCGTGTGATCACCGCCGGATGGCCCTGCACAGCACTGCCGGGCGATGGGATCGCGTCAGGACATAAACCTTCAGGAGGCTCGTTTTATCAGTGAGTACTGGCAGCTTCCTTTTTCAGCCTTCTCTCTGAAGACTCCCTGAAATAAGCAGGGAGCATTGCAGAAACTGTTGCAATGAATTTCTAGGTGGACATGAGACTTTGGTAAGAGCAGGTCATGGGCCCTTTCTCCCAGCTGCCTTGAACTGGCTGAGACCCCAACTCAGTAAAAGCTATTAAAGCTGTAATGTCTGTGCCTGTCCAGCAAACCAATTAAGACAGTGTTTAATTTAAAATCATGTGTCCTATTAAACAGCTAACAGGTAATTGCACAGTTAGGTGCTCTGCTGGAAATGAGGAGTTTACTGGGTCATGATATGAGAGACACTAGTGAATGATCTAACTTCAGAAACAGCTGTAAATCTAGAACAGCTAGATTAACTAGTGCAGAGTTTCTCTATGTGCGTGGTGTGTTATGGTTTCTTCTTTATTTGTTTCTTCTTTTTGTAAAACTTATCTATAAAACTGTAAAAGAGATTTGTCACTCTGTCATCCAAGACCAAAATAGATTAAAAATGCATTGTTAGCCAGAGGATGTACTTTCTGACCATTTTTTCCCGGAAAGGGAAAATAGTTTCTCAATTTAAGCAGGGCTGCTTCTAATGTAGCCTGCAGTGTCTCGTGAAAGGAAACAGTGAGGGATTCAGCCACCATATAAAAGAAACTGAGAAGGGTCTTCTCAAACTCACTAGAGCTGCAGTAAATGTCAGGACCTGTAGAGCACAGTCCTGAGCAGCTGGTACAAATTACCACCAACAAACTTGAGCTAGTCCAGCTCCTTCTGGGCCGCAAGGAATCTCTGCTGATGCTTTGAGAGTGTTCGCCTCAGTCAGACCGGTTTATTCCAGGTAGGTGTGGCTCTTACTTAAAATTGGGAACATGGGGCACACACCAACACGGCCTAATGCACAGTGGTGCTGCTGTTTCTGGCATGTGCTGCTTGTGCTTTCCAGTGCAGTGGCTATGTTTTAATTCTTTAGAGTCCAAAGTTTGGCACCTGAATTTGTATTTATGCATATGAGGAGAGCTTGTCTGACTTCCAATGCAGCTCTACCCTCCTAGGTGCTATTCATGTCAAATCAAACTGGAAATGGGTGTCTGGGAGAGGGAGGGAAATAGTCCTGCTCTGTGAAACACAGGCTTTGCCCTTTAGTCACCCGTGCAAGTGTGTTTTGGATCTGCATCTTGTAAATTCCCATGTCTTCTCTTCTTACTATGCTGGTCAGGCCAGAGCAATTGCGCCTGCATCAGCATTTCCTGCAATGTGCTTTGTCTTTATGTTTTCTCCTGCGAGGTGGCTGTGCAAATAATGAGCAATAAAGGCTGTTATTTAAAGGCCCCCACACTGCACTGTATGTCAAAGTTTCTGCTGTTTGGGGCTTTTTCTCACAGGGAAGCAGCCACAGGAGGAGCTCGATGCACGGATCCAGAGCCACACTAGAAATCATGTGTCACAGGAGCAGGCTTCTCCAGGCAGCACTGTCAACCCTGGGAACCCAGCACAAGCCAGGGAGCAGTACTCCATCCCCATGGGGAGACTTGTCACCCCTATGTTAACACTGTACGAAGTTCCAATGGGAAAGGCACACCAGGCAGCTTAAGTACACTTAACTCCAGGCTGCATTTGTGTACAGGCTTTTCCGGACACATCCAGACACGTGGTTTTGGGGCACAGGAGGCATCTGGAACACTTCCCATTTGTACTTGCACAGTATATTGCCTCTGGAGTGTGAACTCATTAAATACAAAAAAGTTACTTTTTTCCCCTTTTTTTTATTTCAAGCTTGTTAAAAAATAAATTAAAACTTGTAGTAATGTCATGGGGGGGGAGAATAAGGGGAGAAGTATGGTTAAAAAGAAGAACTTACTGTAATGCACAATACTGTGACTGGACCCTGTGTCAAAAATTCCCATCCTCTCTAGATACTCAGGGACAGTCTGAAAACTGCAGAAAAGAATTCATGCACCCACAAAGAGCAAGGCTGCTACTGAATTCCACTTCCATGGAGCAGGGTTTAGGTAACAGTTCCATCGTGGTGCTGCTGGGCTGCTCAAGAAAAGCTCACTTGGTTTTTCTTGAGGGTGTTTCTTCCACACCCAAATATCCTTAATATCTCTCTCTCTCTCTCTCCAGACAGCAACAGGCCTCCTCAGGAATTTACGGAATAGGAGGCATAAGAATAACAAAGGCGGGCCTGGAAGAGGACCACAGGAGGCATCAATGGAGGTTCAACCATACTTCACCTGCATGTGCCAGATTGTCTGTCCTATACCCTGTTCTTTATGAAGTGGAGAAGCAGATGTCAGGGCTCTGCTCTCCCCTGTATCAGTGTGCTGGTCACATCTCCCTCCTTATCCCTTCTTTCCAGGGTTCAAAATACCCCATCCTCTCTTTTTTAAATGGCTGCTGTCCTGCATGATCCTGTTTCCTCGCTTCTCCTCTCACCCCCGTTATTTTCCCTCAACGTGGTGTTGACTCCAGAGGCACAGGGAGGGGGCTGCAGCCTGCAAGGAGCATAGGTGAGTAGTGGAGAGTGACAGGAAAAGCAAATCCCATTATGCTGGGTTTGGGGTCTTTAAGGCTTTAAAATAATACCAGGAATGATGTTTGCAGGGAGGCAAGGCCTGGACACAGCTGTCTCCCATGACAAGGTTATGAGGAGCAGCTGAGGGATATAGGGTTGAGCCTGGAGGCTCAGGGGTGACTTTATCAATCTCTACAACAACCTGAAAGGAGGCTGTAGCCAGGCGAGTGTCAGTCTCTTCTCCCAGGCAACCAGCGACAGGACAAGAGGACATAGACTTGAGCTGCACCAGGGGAGGTTTAGGTTGGACATTAGGAGGAATTTCTTCACAGAAGGCTGATTAGACATTGGAATGGACTGCCCAAGGAGGTGGTGGAGTCACCATCCCTGGAGGTGTTTAAGGAAAGCCTGGATGTGCGCTGAGAGCCCTGGTCTGGTTGATGTGGTGGCGTTCCGTCGTAGGTTGAACTTGATGATCTCAGAGGTCTTTCAAAACCTAACTGATTCTGTGATAGTGTGTGATTCTGGGGTCTGATATTACTGGGAAAGGCGAATAAGGGCAATGAAATGCTTTGAGACCAGATACGAGAGGAAATGAAACACAGCTGAGGGGGAAGCAGGCAAGGGGTTGAAGAGGAGCAGGAAATCGATGTGAAAGAAGGAATTTCAGAAGCTGTGAGTTTCTGCAGCTCTAACCAAAACCACAGAAGACTGGGGTCGTCCTCAGGGTGTGCACCAAAAAAAAAAAAAAATCAGATCCTCTCCCCATCTGATTTTTTCCCGTTCAGCCTAAGGAGCAGTAGTCTCCAAAGTGGAGCGTGCACAAGGCAGTTCCATGGAACTGTGCAGGAATTAAGTGCAGGAATGAAGTGCTGTTAACAGCGGAACCTGCAGGCCGACACCGGGCCCCGAGCAGGCGGAGGGCCTCGAGCAGGCGGAGGGCCCCGCCTGCCGCCAGAGGGCACCCGCGGCCGCCGCCGCTCGGCTCGGCCCGGCTGCACTGCACGCGTGAGGGAAAGGTGCGCGCTGTCGGTACCGGGAAGAGAAGGGATTTGAAAATCCTGTCTTATTCCTGCTATTTAGCTGCAATCAGGTGGCACTGGAAAGGTAGTCTTGGCCAGTGTGCTGTTACAAGCTGCTGTACGTCCGTATGAAACAAAGCGGGTGCTAGGTGACAGCTTTCAGTGCTGAGCGCGGTCGAAATAAATAACATAGCGGTGAAAGAAAACTGGGTTGAAGTTAAGACAGCAAAGAAGAAAACCCACGAGTGATGCAAGGTTATTCACCACCTCCTACCAACAGAGCGAATCTCAGCCAGTCCCTGAGCAACTACCTTTGGGATTTCCCCCTTCCCCGCAGTTTTTATTGCCGAAAGTGACGTTATATGGTATGGTACATCCTTTTGGTCAGCCTGGGTCAGCTGTCCCACCCCAGCCTCTTGTCCACTTCCAGCCTACTCACTCAGGGTGCAGAGGGAGAAACAGGGAAGGCCTTGACCCCGTGCAAGCACTGCTCAGCAATAGCTAAAACACTTCTGTATTATCAACACTGTTTTGGACACAGATCCAAAACATTGGGCTATATGGGCTGCTGCGAAGAAAATCGACTCCATCCCAGCTGAACCCGATAGAGCTGGGGAACGTTGTGAGAGACGCTATAATTCAGGTGCCTTGAGGCAGAGGTACCAGAAGAATTCAGAGAACGTACAGGCAATTACAAAAAAAAAGCACTCAGATTCCGGGCAAAAAATTAGTTGGCACTAAAGGTAAAGCAAGAGTGAGCAGAATATTCATTCAGCCCTCAAGTAAGGATATCGCTGGTGCTTTTCTCTAGAAGGAGCCAAAGATCCTCAAACACATACCTTTGATCACGGGGCTTGCTTTTGATCACAGGGAACAGCACTGTGCCCGTGCAGAGGTTATTATAATACCTCAGCTGGATATCAAATAATAACAGCTCTGATACATCTAGTGCTGGAAACATTGATTGTGAGATTCCCAGCAAAACGATGGAACTATCTGAATGCAAAATCTGGATGGCAAAAGGTCATTCATCCATTTCAGTTGCCCTTCCTTTCACTAGAAATGGAAGTCCCTGGCTTCTTAAATCCATTGCTCTCAAGAGGCCTACTGGCTACAGTAATAAAGATGAAGAATATAACTTCTGAGGAAGGTGAGGAACTATTTGAATTGCTTGGTATTTTTTTTCCTACCTCCCCTCTCCAGTATATTTCACCTCAGCTGCAAAGACAGCACCCTGATTTCATCTCCATGAGAAAAAAACAACTGAGTGGAGAAAGGTGTCTGTTTTGTTTTTTTTTCTCATTACCACTTTCAGAATTTTCAAAGAAGACAGGCCTTTCACCAAGAAATGCTTCAAGTTTTGAGCTATGTGCAAACACTTGAGAAACCAATGATCTGCTTTGCAGCAAAAGCGTAACTGATAAGCACTTTCTGAGAAGTAAACCACCTGCAGTTTACACTGGAAACAATGCTTGTGTTCCTTTCATAATGTTTTATTACTTCTGATGTTTAATGAAAATTTTAGAAAATTTTTCAGAACCATATATGACCTTCCTTCACTACAAGTGAAGGTTACAGAGAAAGGAACTGGGTTCTTTAAGAGATTTTTAGTGAGGTATGTGCCTCCTTGCTCTCTGACTATAGGCAGACAGGGTCAGAGGGTAATGCACGTGCTTATTCTAAAGCTCAGCTTTTTCTGGCTGCCTTCTCTCTCACTTTTCTTTTTCTTTATTTTCTTTATTTTCTCCCATCATCCTGATTTTTTTCTTTGTAATAAGCAGAGTTATCAACGGTTTGAACTGGTCTGTGCCAAGCTCTGTTACTGAGCCATCTTGCTTCCTTGCCCAGGGCACTGTATTTACTCTCTGAACTGTGAAGCAGTTACTCTTTAGTTTATTATGGCCTTTGTCTCCATTTATTAATCGGTTTTCCCAGCAAATGGCACTTGAAGTACATTGCTGAATACACTAATCATCATCTGAAACCGACTCTGCTGCATCAACCCTCTGTACCGCGCAGTGTGTGTTTCTCCTGCGCTCTCTGCGGCCTGGCATATCCTCTTCAGACAGGCTTATATGACAGGTAACCCCTGCAGAACAGCTATATGATCTTGAGTCTGTTTCCTGCTGAGTAAGCACTGATTTCTTTAAGGACTTGTGGGAAAAATCTGTTTTAATTCTCTGGTGAATCCTGCAGTTACAGAATCTGGCTTGGTGGAAAGGAGCCACACCACTGGCTCTGCAACTGTGTGCTGTGTGAAAGAGGCCTGGCGAGTGGGAAGAAACCTTGTAAGTCCTCTGGAGATGCAAATGCAACTGCTACTGCTCTCCTGCAGAGGAGACCCTCTGATCATGCTAAGTATCCCAAAAAAGGAAGAGAAGGAGTGCAAGCAGTTTTTACACCTCCAGGGAAATGCAATCATAAACTCTGATCTCATGCTAATTTATGCTAATAAAAGGACTCCAGCAGACTTTGGAATACGCCTGCAGGTAAGGAGGAATGATATCATTTGAACCTCACTGTTGATAACAACCAGAAGGATGATATTATGGTATTATCAGTCATGGCAGTACTGTTAAAACTTTTGGACAAAGGTTAGGAGAAGTGTAAGCAGGAGCAGGAGAACTCTCCGGCTCTGCTCTTACTCACTCGTCCCTCTTCTCTTGGCCAGTTTGGTCCCTCTTGTGACCGGGGGCTCTCTCTGGGACAGACCAACATGCTGTGGGGTACTGAGGTGGTACTGTGGGTGTGCAGATCCCCACAGCCCTCTCTTTTACTCTCTGCTCTCCTAGAACCCGGAGTTTCATCCGTGCAATAGCTCTCCAGTGCTCTGCAAGGTAGAGGAAGAAACCTCAATCCCTTCCCCTAAGCCTCTCCAGGAGAAAAAGAGGACATGCTACTCTGTGAAGAAAGGCAGGGTAGGGACAGTCAGGGCAAGATGGGGTCAGGGCACGTTAAAGGTAAAGAACAGGGTGAAAGGACTAGTATTAATTTTGCCCCAGGGAATGACTCCAGTAATTGGAGGCTGACTAGGTTTAGCTCAGTTCCTGGGAAAATAAAGGGAAGTTCGTATGGAATTCAGTCAAAGAAGAACTAAGTGAAAGAATATGATTAATGCCACTGAAACAGTTTTATGGTAAGTATAAGGAAACTTGCCAAACAAAGCTGATTTTTGTGCTTTGATGAAACTATATATTTGGTTGACAAAGATAACTACATAGTAATAATGTATGAGAAACTGTGTTGGGCATATGAGTCAGTAGCGCCCTGCATTTTGAGTCTAAAAATGAACACTGTGCAATATCAATACAGCTTGTGTGAACAGCACCAAGAGGAGGCCAAATAACAAACCTCAAAGAGCCAGCGAGAAGTCCAGGAGAGGCTCATGCAGATTAGGGCAGTGCTGGAAGCTGTTTAATCCACTGATGTAACAATTTAATCTATAATCTAAATGAACATGAAATCACTGTTGCTAACAGCAGGGGTTGGCAATGGATAGCAGGACAGAAGACAGAGATGCAATCAGTCACGCAGAGCGATCAGGCATGGTCTGACAGCAAAGGGCTACTTAGTCTTGGAAAGCTGGAAGATGTGAGTGGGAGTAGATGGGGAAGTTTTGGCATAGTGGGTGGTGGTGATGAGTCTGAAACATTCAAGATCTTAGAGGAGATTAAGTGAAATGGGCTATTTTTGATCCTGAGTCCATAAAGGGTCTGTCTTAGACCAAAGGCAAGCTCCAGGACACAAGACCCTCCCTGACCCCCTCTTAAGCTTCCTAAGCAACAGAGAGCCTTTTCCTCCCCAGTACATCTCTAGCCAGGGCTGTGGAGAAGACACTGCTGCATGCATCCCACTGCCAAGTGGAGTGCAGTCCCACTGTCCTTTAGTGTGAACAGCAGTTGAGTAGTTCAAAGCCCATGTGCACAGCAGAAGAGAGAGCCTTCAGGTTCTGCCTCCTGGTGCCATTTGCTTGATTAATATGCTCGGGTCTGCCATAAGGGAAGATTGTGCTGTTTCTCTGTGGAGTAGGATCACTCTTTGTGCAAACTGATACCCTCTTCCCTGCCATCAGCCTGGCAGGAGCAGGTAGCAGCAGGAGAGCAGTTGCCTGGGAACTATGCAGCACAGCCCAGTGGGAGAAGCAGTGAGGTCAAGTGACAGTACCCTTCTCAGGTTTACCTGTTTGTTGGGGGTTTATTTCTTGTTTGTTTCTTTGTTTTGTTTTATTGTTAGGGAATTGCTTTTCTAGTGTGAGAAAACTGTGTACCACTGCCGAGGGGAGGAAGCAGAGGCTTGGGAGGCAGCTGGCACACTAAGTCATCTCATGTCACTGCCAGCCGGGGATTTTTTTTCCCTCCACATAAGTCTTCTCTGGGGTAGTTGAATCCAGCAGTCAACATATGAATAGAGAAGCCAGCAGTGCCTGCTGTGTACTGCACTGACCAAACGTATTTCAGGCCAGCAGCTGATCCAGGGGGCTCAAGAATATCTTTACAGAAAAGATGTTTCTTCTGCTAAAAATAAAATCAGATGAAACATGAGATGAAACAAAGAGAGAGCATTTGTACATAAGTCTTACTAGAAAACACATTTGTTTCAATAGTTTCCACAGAGCATAAACACACCTGTTTGAGGTCAAGTGCCAAACCCAACTCTCTCTTAAAGACTAGCTTTTTCTGACTCATCTCAACACTGCTGTTCATCCATTCCTCTTTGTCTAGCTGTGGTTTTCAGCAGTTCAATGTCTTCTTTATTCTCCCTGGACTTGGGAGAAATTAACTCTCGCCTGCCTGAAGGTGTATTCCCCAATACACTACTGTAATAGCTCTGTGATATTTGAAACGGTATTGCTGTATTGTCACTGTTGTTTTCCTATTTGCTTGTCTCTGACATTATTCTGTACAGCCTGACAGGAAAATAGCCAACAGGAAAACTGAGATATTGTTGACATTCATAAAAATAACTTGTCTTCTTCATAGTTTTTCACACACAGATTTTTTTCTTACTACTTCTGTTACAAGCACCCTAAACCATCGGCAAGTGATTTCTGCAGAAAAAAATTCAGGGATTTTGGTACAGTGCATCTTTCTGGCCTACATTTAGGTGCAGTGCCTTGCACAAACGGACCCAAATGGCCAAAACATCCAGATTTCCCAGGCTTATAGTGAGCCCTATCCTGAGGGGTTGGTCCATGGAGGTCCCAGCAGAGGCACAATGGCTCTCGTGCCAGATCCATTGGACATATGCTGAGCATTTCAACAGTGGTGTATGTTTGACATAACACCTTCTGTGTACACATGCATGGTTTGGCCATCCTCAGAACCATCCTGCTATGTCTCCATACATCATGGCTAGGCTTCGCAAACAAAGATTTGGGAACACAGAATAAGAAACCCCTCAGCAAGCTCCAAAAATGAGTGTCCAGAAGAGGAAGGACTGAAGCATCACTCCCTGACTGTAAGCAACAATTGTTTTATTAATGTGGTCTACCTTGTTTCTCTCCCTAGAAGCGTACTCTGAGGAATGTTTCAGTTTCTACATATCTGACTTTTTCTTGGTTATCTGATGTTCCAAAGGTTTGCATTGTAGGTTTGTTTTCCTTTATGTGAGCTGTTGTTAGGCTACTTATAAAAGCATGACAATTGCCCTAAGTGATGAATCATCAAAACATGCCAAATGGCAGCCCTCTTGCCCGTAAGCTTTTTGTGAGTATGTGGTTTTTCTTTCCCTTCCTGCAGTTGCTGCTTTCATCCTTCCTCCTGTGCACACCGAGGAACTGATTACACTGATGTAATTCCACTGAATTTGAGGGGAGTACCTTTCAAATTATATTGGTGAGACACCCTTCTATCCTATAGTTGTATCTAATGGCATAAAATCAGTGCAACTGTCAGAAGCTATGAACTCTACAGGTAGGACTGATTAGACCTTAGGGGACCATGCAGATATTCTGTAACTTGCCTGAAGGTACCCAAGTTTAGCCTCCTGAGACTCCAAAATTTTATCTCTGGCTCTGACTACATCTAATTTATTCTCTAGTTGATGCAGAGTTTTTGCCTTCTATCTCCCTCCTACATGGTTTCCCATCTCTCTGCATCTTCCTTTCTTTTCCTCATTATTGCTTTTGCCCTTCAGCTGCATGTTGTAATAAAGTGTGCTTTTTTTTCCCCAAAACAATTCTGCATGAGGCTGTAGTGGAGCTAAGGCTGTGGTAAAAGGAAAGATACCAAAAATGTATTAAGTGGTACACTGCTGGTTAATCTAAAAAACAATGTCTTGTGTTAGTCAAACAATAGATCATTTGATAAACTATCTGCAGCCGAAAGGATAATTTTCAAAGGGCTGTCCACCCGCAGCACAAAATCTAAGGATAAGAGGTAAGCTTCAGATTGAACTCCCAGCCAAGGACCCTTGCCACCCTTTCCTATTCTTTCTTTGGGGTGGAGGTGAGCACGCAAGAGCTAGG